GGAACGGAGCTGCACACACAAAAGAAACAAATAAAACAATAATATATATATATATTACTGAAACTGACGCAAGCGTAGATATCCCTTAGTCTTCTTCATTCACATTTCTCGCTCTCTGCCATATTCGCCTCTCCTATCCAGTTGCTGCGCTGCGCCTGGCTTCCGCCTCACCTCCCTCAGAACCTCAGCTCCTGTCTGTCTGGTGGTGGTTATGTTCGTTCGTAACCGGTTTGGCTGTCTCTGCCACTGCATCTGCCTGTGTTTGTCGCTCTGTATATCTAAACGTCTCCGTCTGTGTGCGTCTCTGTCTGTCTGTCTCTACCTTGGTGCATCGGTGTCTTTGTTGCTGTGTCTCCCTGTATCTGTCTCTTTGTCTCTGCCTCTGCTGCTTCTGCTCTCTCTCTCTCTCTCTCTCTCTCTCTCTCCCTAAGAGTCTCTATTCCACGCCCTCCCTCTCCATGCCTCTACTGCAGAGAGACAGCAGCTGCTCCCCGTGTTGTTGCTGCAGCTGCAGCAGCAGCACCAGCTGCTGCTGCTGCACAGGGTTCTTACCAAGGAGCTCGTTGAGGCCTTGCTTGTACTTCAACGCCTGAGATTTGCAGTAAAACGTCAGCATCTGCTCCATCAGCTTCCTCGTCTTCGTCTGCCTAAACACTGCCAGCCGCGCCCGCGTCCGCTCTACATCGCTCTTAATGACCCGCTGCAGCAGCAGCAGCAACAGCAGCAGCAGCAGCAGCAGCAACAGCAGCAGTAAGGGCAGCGTCAAAAGCAGCAGCAGCAGCAGCAAACCTCCTGTCCGCTTCACCTCCGCAGTACCACACAACCAGTGGCAGCAGCAACACTGACTCCAAAAGCAGCCAACCACCCGCGAAGTCTACGCCTAACAACAGCAGCAACAGCCTCAGCAGCAGCAGCAGCAGCAGCCAGCAGCAGCAGCTAAGACTCACTTGGTTGGGCTCGTCTAGGGGCGTTTGAGCAATGAGGCTCGTTAGCTGCTGCTGCTGCAGCGGCCCCAAATCTTCAACTTCCAGCAGCGCCAGCCAAATGCGGCACCGCAGCCGGGAGGGGAAGCCGTTCTTAAACAGCCGCAGACGAGCAATAAGACGTTCCTTTGCTGCTGCTGCTGCTTCGGATGCTGGCGTTACCCTTGCTGTTGCAGTCGTTGCTGCTTCTCCCCTTGCTGCTGAGGCCTCCGCGCTCTCTTCCCCGCACACACGAAGCCCTGACGATCGCGAAGCTTTCAGTTCCTGTGTTTCTGCTTCTGGTGCCGCTGCTGAATCTGCTGCAGAAGCAGCAGCACCAGCTGCTGCTGCTGCTTCAGCAGCAGATTCGCCTTTCTCATCTGTACCAGCAACTGAACCCTCCTCCTCCGAGCTGCCCAACTCCTGGCCCGCTGTGGGGACCTCAGCCAAAGGCGGCAGCAGCGGCGCCACAGCAGCAGCAGCACCTGCAGCAGCAGCCCCAGGCAACCCACGCTGCTGCGCCAAGGAGTTGATTGTAAACTCCCCTAACGTCCCCACAGCATCATCCTTCAGTTTCACCACTTCTGTGATGCTGCTGCTGCTGAGAGCAGCAGCATCGGCAGCGTCCTCGCAGGCTTGCTTGACCTCCGCATGCAGAAGAGTTTGCTGCTGCTGCTGCTGTAGCTGTTGCTGGAGAGTGTGTTGGGTTCTTGCAGATTCGTGCGGGGTTGCTGCCGCGTGCTGCGGCGGCGCTGCAGCAAAAGCTGCAGCAGCATCAGCAGCAACGCAACTGCGACACGGGTCCGTGCTGCTGCTGTAGGAGGGAAGCCGGTCGTTGCTACAAACAAACTGTAAACGCTGCAGCAATGCCTCCACCTCCGCAACTCCATCCGAAGCAGCAGCAGCAGCTGCAGCAGCAGCAGCAGCAGCAGCAGTCAGGCGTTCTCCGTTGACTGCTTCCAGGTCACCCCTGCACGCCAAATCTGCTGCCCGTGTTGCTGCTGCTGCTGCTGCTGCAGATCCTCGTGCAGCCGTCGCTGGTTCTGTTTCGGTGAGTGCCGCTGTATTGCTGCTGCAGCCGGAAGAGCTTGCATGCGGATTGCTGCTGCAGCGGCTGTAGCCGCTTCCAGGGACGACAATGCCTTCTATATAAGTCTTCGGTTGCTGTTGCTGCTGATGCTGTTGCTTCTGCTGCTGTTGCTGCTGCTGCTCTTGTTGCTGTTGCTGGTCAGCCGTGCTTGGCGTCGAGACAACTGGGCCGATAATAAGCTGATTCAGAAGATATAAGGGAGGAAGCATGCGCCCCCCTTGCTGCAACCCCAGTCGATGCTGCTGCTGCTGCTGTTGCTGCTGCTGAACATACGCAAGGCTGCTACTATCCTCCACTTCGCCTACGCTGCTGTCATCCTCCGCTTTGCTGCTGTTGCTGCTGCTGTTGCTGTTGCTGCTGCTGCTACTGCTGATACTGCTGCTGTGCCCGAAGCCACCACCGCAGCTGCCTGCCCAGGTCGTCGTTGTGCCGCTGCCTGAGAGCAAAAGGCTGCATTTGCTGCTGCCAATGGTGGTGTCTGTCAAGCCGCTGCTGCTGCTGCTGACGTGAAAACAAGCGTCTTGCTCCGTGCTGCTGTTGGGGCTGCTGCTGCTGCTGCATGCCTCAGCAGGAAGCAAGGAAGACCGCAAAAAGGGGCTCCCAAGAGCCAGCTGCTTCGTTGTTGCTGCTGCAGCTGAAGCCGTAGGTGTTTCGTCACCTCCGTCTCCAGCAGCCGCTGCTCCTCTTGCTGCTACTGTGAAGCACAGGTCAGCCTCCAGCTGCTGCTGTTTGCTGCTGCTCGCTGGTTCGGCCCCCGGGATGAGTAGAGCTGGATGCCGCTGCATTCTGCTGCAGCAGCAGCAGCAACCACGCCTTCCGTCGCTCGCGGGTCTACAGCTGATACATTGGCAGCCCCCGCTGCAGCAGAGACCTCAAGGCGTCGAGCAGCAGCACCCCACGGGGCTTTGCTGCTGCTGCAAGGAAGCAAGACTACTTGCCTTACAGGCCATGCCCATCTTGCGGCTACGCCGCACTCCTTCACCAAAAACGAGCCGCTAAGCAGCAGCTGCTGCTGGTGTCTGTGCCGCGCCGCTGTTGCCGCTGCTGCTGCTGCTGTCGGCTAGTTAGCGGCTGCTGTTGGTTACCTGCTGTTCCTCCCTAGCTGCTGCTGCTGGTTAGTCGCTGCTGTGTTGCTGCTGCTGCTTCAGCTTCAGTGGTGTCGCAGCGCTCCAGAGACCCACAGCAACAGCTGCCGATGCTGCTCCTGTGGCAGTTTCGCCTCCTAGCCACTTGAGTCGAAGTAACGGCAGCAGCAGCAACTGCTGCTGCTGCTGCTGCTGCCGCCGCAGTTAGCACTAAAGAAAAAAAGCAACAGATTGATGCTTGAGGCAGTCAAGGCAAACGGAAGCCAAGAAGCTGCCTCGGGTGAACCGAGCGGCGGTGCGAGGGCGCAAGGAGACAGGCGGCAGCAGCAGCAGCAGCAGCAGCAGCGGGGCCCTCCACTAGCTGCTGAGCACCTAAAGAAGGCAGGAGCACACAACAGTCGCAGGGAGAAATCCTGAGGAAGAAGACAACGAGTTGCTTCTGGGCAGCAGCAGCAGTAGCTGCTGCAGCTGCTGCTGCTGCTGCCGGCGCTGGCGCGCGAAGGAGCGGCTGGCCGAGACTGTAAGGGCTCCGCCCTACAGCGGTATTGAGCTGCTGTCTTGACTCTGTTGATAGCTAGGAAAAGAGAAACAAAGTCTTAACGGCCCATCTTCTATCATGACAATTCTTCAACTCTCCAGCGGGAGCTGTCGGGGGCCCAGCCCCAGCGCAGCAGCAGCAGCAGCAACGGCAGCAGCTCAGCAGCAGCTGGCGGACGGAGGCGTTGGCGGGGACCTCTTGTATTCTGCAAGCCTTCTTCAGTTCATTGAGTTGATGCTGATGCATTCTCGGCAAAAGCAAGGAAGCAGCAGTAAACACAACTCCTATTAACAGCAGCAGCACGTTGGATGATAGTGTAGCGAGCCCTGCATCATTGTCTGCCCTAAGGCTGCTCTTGTACTTCAACTTGAGAGCAGGCAGAAGACTAGGGGTTAATAAGCTCTATAACAATTACGCGTATAGCGAATGTATGCCCCAAGAGCCGGCTAGAGTATGCTAGCAGGTGTGGCTGGCGTGCAGTAGGCGCTGCAGCACGAGAGCTGCAACTCCTCATTGTTCATCTCCTCGGTCTGTACTAATCTTAGGGGCTTGTGCAGCTTCTGTTAGGAAGCCTGGAGGCTGGTGGGGAGGTGAGCGGCTCTTGGGGAGCTCTTATGGTAGGTTTTTTTACTAGACCTTCGTGCAGCTCGCGCGTGGCGAGACCTGCTGTAAGGGCACCATGAGAGAAGCTGATTCCATCCGTATGAATAGGATACCTACTGTTTAGGGCTTGCCAGTTGTGAAGGAGACAAACAGCTGGGGTCACTGGAACCGGCGGGGTATGAACAGCCTCTTCTGCCTTTAACATGTGTCTATTGCGACGACGATCCTTTGGAAGTACCTCCGCCTCTTCCGACCGTACAAATATAACAGAAGCCAGGGACGTATTTGTTGTTTGACAGCTTTCTGATATGTATGTTTACCGCCAGGTAGTCTAGCCGACAGGGTACTGCAGATCGGGTAGGCTAGCCCACATGGTACTGTAGATCTAAGGGAGCAAATACGGCAATCGGGGCAGCACTTCATAGAGAAGTGTCATTCCCTAGTGAACATAAATCCACCGGTGGAGGCTAAACTTGTGCATCAATGGTTTTCAGCACGGCTGCCCTCATGGGGTGGGAAATGTCCAGATGGCTGCCATTGCAGCTGGAACGAAGGACGCATGGGGGCACTTATCTGCTCCCTTTGCAGTTAACAAATTAGCATAGTTCAAAGTCACAGACTCACGAAAATCGCTAAGGAATTAACGTAGCAAGGTTTTGAGCAGCGCCACCAATGGACTAAGCAAGGCGGTGTGGTAGCACGCTGCGTCGCGCACACGCGCATTGGAAGGAGCGGCAGCCGCACCTCCGGAATCACCCCCACATAACTTTGTGCCTATCCGAGTTCCTACTAATGCTCAGGGGTTGCTAGTTCTTTCTCGCCCAGGCCGCGTAGCTTTTACGGCCTGGGGCGTATCAACGGCTCGGTGATGCAGCTTATAATTGGCGTAGTCTCTGCGGTTACTTTTCGTCAATGGCAGACGGGCATGGAAATCAGTAGAACTATTTACGTAGAATGCGAAGTACACTGAGAAATGGGCATTAATTCTGTGGTAAAGGGATTTTTCGCTGGAGCCATTTGCCATGCTATGTCCTCGGCATGCCGTGGGTGACTCAGCGGGAGGAGAGACTGCTGCCAGCAGAACGCACCGTTGAATTTCACAAAGATGATAATCCATAGGGAAAGTCATGTCTCAGCTCTGCAAACCCCATTGTACTGTCTAGAGTAAGATGAATAGAATATGTACCTTTTTAAGGAGTTACTGGACTCCAAAGCAGTGCGATGGTGCTGCCCCCAAACAACGGAGGTATGCGCGTATTCCGTTATGGTTTTAGGAAGAAGCAGCTCTTGGGATGTGATCCAGTTAGTATCCGACAAACAGCAGAAATCAGCACCGTTGAAGGTTACATTCCGAGATGCACTGAATAACAAGGAGCAACCAGCGGGGTACTACACCAGTTGGGCGCCATATGTGCAGGATCAGACTCACTCGACTCAATTCCGAGTTTTCCAGTATATTGGAAATACCCATCCTGAAGGCGATAAGGACGGCAAAGGGAAGAGAAGCTATGAATATGCAATGCTTAATTAATGCCGCGTTTGGGTTCAATCCGGTGCTGGCGACGGGAAGGGCTGGAGGCGGCGCGCTTGCGTCGACTCCAAGCCACGAAACTGGCTTACACTGATGCAAAAGTTTCCGATACCCTGGATAGATGAACTACTTGCGCTCTCGCTGAGTTCAGCAGTACAGAAGTTGGCAGCCATTTGACTTTGCTGAGGAGTTGTTGCATATCCGACCACCTAAAAAAAGTGTTGCAGAAGAACTAACAACTTGAACAAGCCGCCACATGTCCCCAATATTTTTGCTTCGATGGCCCATTCTTATCAGCGGATACTAACTACTCAGCGGTTGGTGCAGTGCTCTCTCAGCAAGCCAACGTCTCAAAAAGAACTAGATATTCTCCTGCAGCTCACCATTTCTCGGGCATAGAACAGCGGTATCCGGTAGGTAAAATGGAGCCCCACGAGGTCTGGTGGGGAGCTGGGGAGTAAACTAGTATCGACGTAACTTATACGGCGACCACTCCAACCTCCAAGCTGATTATGGGTTCTTAACACACCTTCCAAAAACTCTGAAAGACTTAGGCGATAAAAGAATTGCTCATTGCCTTTTCGTGTTCACCCAGTGGTCTGTTTAATGTTGGTCTGTGTATTCCAATTTGAGTGCAGACTGACTCTTGAGGGCTAAGCAAGGGCTAAACAATTGCATACAGTACAACTGCGCGGATCTAAACAGGGCCTGGGCTGACTTGTAACTGATGCTGCCCTGCAGCAGGACTTGCAGCAAAGCGCGTTGCTCCTCATGGAATGCCCGCTTCTCTACGCACCAGTATCAGGCCGTAGGGCTGTTGTGTCCAGGACGCCTGGACAGTGGAGAGGAGGGAGCTCATTACCTGATCTTATGGGGTTACCTATTTAAAGGTATTTTGACTCTATAGTAGTCCTTGATGTTGCTCGGCTAAGATTAAGGTCCTTGCTATGGAAGAACCGGATGTCGCTGTTTCGTATGCTGGAGCCCTTTGTTTCCTTGAGCCCCTTTGTGGTCTAAACTTTTCACTTAAAGTAAACATCTTTGAAAAGTTTATTTGTGAATGTTATTAATTCGATTTAGAGGTATTTCAGCGCCCTCCCTGGTGCAGAGAAGGCTAGGTGGGAGGTGTAGTGTACATCGATATTTCCCCATCACATAATGTAAATATTTTGCGTTAAAAAATAAAGTAAAATAAATATATTTAATCACTTTATCTTGAATTGCCTGAGTTTATTGCATATTCTAATAAACGTGTCTGGGCAGCCCCAACTCTTCGGTGGCAGCGGCAGCATGCATGCAAGGGTTTACTACTAGTATGCTTTGCTTTTGCCTCTTCTTTTGTTTTTATTTACTGTGATCATCGTTTATCTTTATTTATTCATCTCTTTTGCGGCGAAGCTGCTGCGGGGCCTCTCACAACTCACAGAACCTCGGGGCATTTGCCTGCTTGCCTTTGCAGCTGCTGGCTGTATATACCGCATTATCACAGTTAATTCTTTAAGATGACGACCGGTATGTCTCTGTTTTGTTTGTTGCTTTGCTAGCGTTTGTTTGGTGCTTGAGTTGTTCCTGCTTCTTCTTGTTGTTGCGCTTGGCGAGTGGGTTGGGGTGTTGGTTCATATACATTATTTTCTCCTTCTTTACTCCGTACACATACCTGCATTTTACTCATCTCTGTGGTGTATGGGTCTACCCATTTACCCCTTCTTGCTGCAGACAGCGGCTTCCTGTTGCTGCCTCTCTGCAGCATTAGCATGCATGCCTTCGCATGCATGTACGAATGGCTTTATCTGCATGCAGAGCGACACTTTCATTCACAGCTTCAATTGCATTCACGTGTCTTTCTGCATGCTTTTTATGATTTTTATGCGTGGCCTTGTAACTTGCATGCAGCTCATAATCCCTTGCATGCAAAGAAAACTCCCTTCCCTAACATCATGAGTAGCAAGAATGCATGCATGCATGCATGCATACAACAATAGATAAAAAGCAAGAATGCATACATGCATGCATGCAGCAAAACAAAAGTAGCAAGAATGCATGAATGCATGCATTTATACATAAATGAAACAGAACAGTCCATAAATAGCAAGAATGCATGCAAGAACGCATGCATGCATCATACATGCATTTGTTTTATTTTGTTTTGTTTTATTTTTTCTTTAGATAGGAAGTGGGCAGACTTCGAGTTGGAAGATGACGGAGAATTGGGAGAGCTCGCAGCCACCACTGGGGGCTTCGAATCTCGTCCAGACAGCGACGGCATTAAAACAATTACGAACTACGTGCAGAATGCTAAGGGAGAAACTCTTAAGGTATATACACTGCCAGCATCCACACACCCCATACTATTTCATGCATATTCATGCATGCATGCATATTCATGCATGCATATATATTCATGCATGCATTTTCATGCATGCATCCATATTCATGCATGCATGTTTATTTATGCTTGCATATTCATGCATGCATGCATTCATGCATGTACATTTATGTATGCATATTTATGCATGTATATTCATGTATGCATATTTATACATGTATATTCATGGATGCATATTAATGCATGCATATTAATGTATGCATATTTATGCATGTATATTCATGCATGCATATTTAATGCATGCATTTTCATGCATGCATGAATTCATTCCTAAGCTAGGGAATAGCACGCTCGTAGGGGTAATGACAGCCGCATAGAACAAAACCTTCAGCAAACAAAGCCCATCTACTGCTGCTGCTGCTGCTGCTGCTTCTGCTGCTGCTGTTGCTGTTGCAGATAGTGAAGCGTATTAAGGTGACGAAGGTCGTACACCGCATAAACAAAGCGGTGTATACACGGAAGAATATTCCTCTCTTTGGCGTTGAGGCAGCAGAAGGAAGTGCAGGGAAGGCTTTTACTGTCAGGTCAGCAGACACTCCAACCAGCAGCAGCAGCAGCAGCAGCAGCAGCAGCAGAAAGACAGGGGCTTTTGCAACAGAGCGCCCTTCACTGTACAGCGCAGAAGCTACGGAGAGATAGCTGAAGAGACATAGAAACGTGAAGGCGGCATAAATATACTGCAGCAGCACCAGGAGAAACAGCAAAACCAATGGGGGAGCAGCAGCAGCAGCAACAGCAATAGCAGCGCAGCAACACCGGGAGCAACAGCAAACAGTAGAGTAGCAGCAGGAGCCACAGGAGCACAGCAGCAGGAGCCTTAGTCACAGCAGCAGCAACAGCAGCAGCTACAGCAGCAGCTATAGCATCAGCAGCACTATGAATCACAGCATTAGCTACAGCTGCTGCCGCAGCATCAGCCGCAGCACCAGCCGCAGCATCAGCCGCAGCACCAGCCGCCGCCGCAGCAGCAGCAGCTAATGCGTTTGTCGCTGTCTTTGTGTATTTGTTACTAGGTCTGTAGAGGAGATCCCTCTGGAAATATCTAAGGAAACTATGTTGAGGGCAAAATTCAAAGAAGACGAAGACGACGAAGACATTCAGTTTGCTGTGAGGCCTACAGACAGAGTGTGCATCTATTGAAGTCTAGCATGCAGACTATATATATATATACATATATGTATGTATATATGTATATATATATGTACATATATATATGCATGCATATATGAATATATATATATATATGTATATTTATATATACATGGATAAATATATCTGTAAATAGGTATATGTATATATATATATATACATATATCTATATACACATTTATAGATATATTGATTGGGGTGTATGTGCATCTCTTTTTAGGATTTAAATCCGGCGAAGACTTCGCGCGACCTCAGACAGAAATTCTTATCCCTACAAAACGACGACGAGCCGGTATGCCAGCAGCAGCAGCAGCAGCAGAGTAGCAGCAGCAGCAGCAAGTGCAACAGCGAACGCAGCCTCACCAGCCTTGCTGATAGAAGCATTGATAACAGAAGTAGCAGTAGCAGCAACAACAGCCCGAGCAGCAGCTGCTGCAGCAGCAACATCCGCGCGTGCAGGAGCCTTGAGAGCAACAGTAGCAGTAGCAGCAGCAACAGCAGCAACAGCAGCAACAGCAGCAACAGCAGCAGCAGGAAAAGTTGTGTTTGCTGCGGGTTCGATGTGCGCAGGTGGATGGCGGCGATGGCGATCCTCTGGGCTGCCGGCTGGGAGTAGGAGGAGCGAAGTGCGTCTCCTTTTGTCTTTTTGTGTCTCCTTTTGTCTTCTTCTGTCTCCTTTTGTCTTTTTTGTGTTTGCTTCTGTCTCTTTTCTGTCTCTTTTCTGTCTTCTTTTGTCTCCTCGTTGTCTCCTTTTTGTCTCTTTTCAATTTCTTCATGTCTCCTTTTGTCCCCTTTTTGTCTCCTCTGTGTTTCTTTCTGTCTCTTTCGTTTTCCTTCTGTCTCCTTTCTGTCTTTTTCGTCTCCTTTTTCTGTATCCCAATGCATGCATGCATGCATGCATTGATGCATTGATGTATGTACAGCTGCTGCATTCAATCTATCTTGCTGCATGCATGCATGCATGCATGCATGGTTGAATGCCTATACAATATATATATATATATATATATATATATATATATATATA